AAAACTGCCTTTGTTGAAGCCGCTCCCGTTTGTGTCTGTGTGTCTGAATGTTTGTGTACACTTAGAAAATAAATTTCGAAGAGGTCAAGCTGATTTCCCTCATATTTTAGGAAAAGAATCACTCTGAGCTGAAAAATTGTATGCCAAGTTTCTGCCTGAAGCAAATTTTTACGATCAAATTAAAAACCTTTGAGACCCAGAGTTTATAATGGAAATACTAACACAACCTTAACCACGGCAGCTCTAGCAGGCACTGCAAAAATATTAGGAAAGGTCTCCCTGCCCACAATCTAAACTAAATAAAAAAGATGCCATTTTCTAACATATACCCCAGGCTAACAAATAACAATGATTTAATGTACTTGCCCTGTGGTAATATAGTAGCACTGCAAACCTCTGAGTCAATTTTTCTTTTCTTTTCTTTTTTTTTTCCTTTTTAAACATATATGCCCCATAGGGAAAGGATTGCAATTTTGCTCTTATTTGTGGATATATCGCTTTCATTTCGACAATCCTTGAAAGCCTTCCTGCTGTCACACGCTACTGTATGCGAGCACCCAACTGAATAAAGACCCACCAGGCTTTTTCAGGAGTTTATTCACAGGTTTGGCTTTGCTTATTGTAGTATGCACCACATTTAGATTAGATGAGGGCTACTGTAAAGCAATAACATTGTCAATGACTGGAATCTCACTTTCCCCTCTAACAGTCTGAAGCAAATTAATGTATTGGTTGTTCGTTAACAAGTAAACAGTTTCTGCTACAATGTCAAGGAAAAAGAATGTGTTCATTAATATGAACAATCTTCATCTACAAAGATGATTTACACAATGCATGTCATGAGATAGCTTTCCCCTAACTAGTACACTACCAAACCGAAAAGCTGATTCTTAGGACTTTCTTGAAATTACAATATTGTTTGTTTACCAATAAGAAAGACAGTCTTAGTCACCTATGCCACCATTGTAAGCTCTATAGTAAGTACTTAAAAAAAGAGAGATTTCTGGAATCACTTGTAGAATTAATAAAATTGATAACTACAGACTTACACTGCATCAATGATACATATTATTCCTGTGATAAGTTAAGCTAAAAATAAGATTAATTTGGTTATAGAAATTCCTTAAACAACAACACTTAAATTATTTCAAACTTGAATTTTTTCCAAGAATTTTCTGAAAAAATCAGCAAACACTGGCTAAAAAAGCAAAGCAGTTTGGATACACCAATGTAATCAGCATGCCTAGTGCTTTTCTGTTAACCCTCTGAGTAGAACCATAGTATTCTGGATTTTTTGTACACTAATGCTATGAAAATTGTAACTTACAGAAATAGCAATTCATACGTCATGACTTAATAAATCATGTTTTAAATATATTTAGGCTAGGCATCTCATCTAGTGAGCAATTCGTCCATCCTAGATTTTTAATCATCCACTAGAGAAGCCAGTCTCTAGCAAATACAAGGGAAGCCTAGATGATCGCCCAAGATTAGATGCTTTACTCTTATATGGATACATCCAGATGGAACAACGCCCAGCTCAGTAGCATTTAACTAATCCTGTGCTATCACCCATCAGTACTACATTTTCACATCAAAGTTTGCTTACTGCATGTAAGTTCACTAGAATATTGCACTTAGGTTGGAGTCCGTGTTATCCCCACTTATATTTAATTGAGAGGAATTAAGCTGGAAGTGACCCTGTTCTACTATTCTGTTACTACTAAGATCAGACCGACAGGCCTCTCCAGAGATTAAAGATTAGATGACCTGAATCACCCTTTCAAAGCGCTTCTCTCTATCTCCTTGGTGATAGATGGTGCCTACCATGACTGCCATCCATCTAGGCTAACTACATAGGCTTGGTGGGAGGAAGCTGGCCTTGTATATGTAATAAGCATTTAAAAAAAAAAAATGTTGTCACATTTAGCACCAAAACGATGCAAGGACTCAAAAGGGAAATAAAGAAAGAAGTCGAGAGGACTGGTATGCGTTACAGTAAAATGACCACAGCGTGCTATGTGCTCTCCCAGATTATCACATTAGAAATAGTCTGTTATCTTTGATTTCTTTTTTCACTGGTTCTTCAAGTATTTTTAGGGCAATGTATTCTGTCTTCACTTATTGCCAGGAATTCAGAGGTTAGACAAGAAAAGGGGCAGTTGCTGCCAAACAAGCCTGAATCATTATTATTTCCATGAAACCATACATATATATATATATATAT